TTTTTCAGACAACAGATTTTAAGCACAAATGCATTTGATGGGTTCCTGGTGCTCATTGCTGTGACACTGTTGGTGTGGGGAAGGTGGCCATAGAAGCACAGAATATCCCAGTTGGAAGGGAGCAATCATCCCTGGGTCCAAGCCCTGAGCCACACCATGTGCCTGAGAGCATTGTCCAAACACTTCTTGAACTTCATTTCTCTCTGGGATAGGTTCTGTTACAAGGTAGTCTCAGTGCCCTTACCTAAGAAACTTTCTTGCTGAGTTGAGTGTTGGAAAATTTTATTATAGCCAAGATTGCTCTCCTGGGACACTGTGTTCTTCCAGCATTTCCTCTTGAACCTCAGGATACTCTTTTTCTCAGGGATTTTATAGGGCTCTGTTTAGTTTCATGTTGAGGAGTTGAAGCTCAGGGAACATGGAGATTTTTTTTCCCCTGGTGGCACTCTCTGACCTGTACAGGATTTTTTCCTGTGTTTGACAAAATCAGGATCTGGGGTATACAGGTGGCTGTATATTTTTCAGGCGGGCTTTTTTATACCTTCAGGAATGAGTTTTGTGTGAGTTGCCTATCCACATCAGTCCTTGTTTCTACTTTAAGAACTGAAGCAGAGAGACCAGTTGAGGTTTTAAGAACACTTCAAACCAAACCCTGGGAGAAGCTTCAACAGCAGTTAGACACAGCTGTTTTGCATTTTCCTGGGCTTTGGAGTTTACAAGGCAGGACATTCAAAGTCTGCTCTAAGATGCAGCAAACTCTCTATTGGACACCTTAATGGCGATCTCTTCTGTTCTAATCTCATCTCCATTACAGATGCAATGTGTGCTACTACTCCTACTGTTTTTTGTAGAGAAAAGAGTCACTTTTATCTGAGACATTCAGAATTTTGATTTGACTATCTCTTGGCACCAGAAGCAGCTTTGCATAAATCATGATGAAATTACTATTTTGTTAAATAAGAATTTTTTTTCTTTATGTGTAGTTAAAGGTTTTATATGTAGTTTCTTTATGTGTAGTTAAAGGTTTAGCAAATATATACTATAGGTAATTATTCTGTTTGTTTCTATACACTTAATAATATATATATTGGAAAACTATGAAAGATACAGAAAACATAATAAACATAATATAGACAACTTAAGAGTCAGTTTCTATGTTTTGGGGGAGGCTTCGTTATGTTTGCTGTCTTTAAATCCTAATTGAAAGTTAACAGGTGTTTCTAAATAACAGTTCTGCACTACATTATTGTGGGAGCTTTCAGACTTTTTTTACATTTTGTTGCCATCTTGCTGTTGTCCAGTGTAGCTCACCCTGTAGCATACTGGCTGTAGCCTCTCCCGATGCCACATTTGTTAAGGTGCTTCCTGTCACTTGCAGAAGCATCGTGGGACATTCCTGGGTCAAACCCCATAGGCTGAGGACAGTGATTGATTTCAGATTTCAGTAGCTGATCTTTTCCCCAAGACTGCCTCATGGCATGTGGCCATTCTTGCTATGTTCTAGCCCAGCAGGGAAATGTGCAGTTCCCTGTCTCCTCATAAGTTGTGCCAGCTCTTCCCTCGGGTGGCAGTGGTTGGGATCAGGAGTGGCAGGAAGCTGCAGTGAGGAAGGAACTTCTCTTAAGTATGCTGGGTGAGGAAAAGCACTCCCAAGTTTGCAAGTTTCCAACTGCAAATATGAAAAAGAGCAATTCTGATGTTTCTGGTTTGAAGCAGTATACTGTCTATTTACAATAAACAAAACAGATAAAGAAATGCTTACATACATTCCTTACTTACTGTTAAATCTAAAGTGTAGGGCTTATATAAGGCCTCCTCAGGTTATTAAAAATCCTTCCACATGTCCCATCCTGTCCTGAAATAATCTGCCTGCTGGAGCTTTGCTTCTGGGTCACATCTGTAGATGAATCAAGAGAATTGTCCTAAATGTCATTTAGTTTTTATTGCATCTGCTTTAAAATGAAAAAAAAACCAAAAAACCACCGAAGTGCAAACCTCAACTGAACCGGCACAAAATCCCAGTTTTATCCGCTTGACTTTATGTATTAAATCTTAATTCAGCTCAAGAAATATTAATCACGTATCCTAAATAATGCCCATTACTGTCTGGATTTTCAATTAAAGCTTCATAAGCTTTTAACGAAAAAGTGCTGGAATTACCCAGTGCCAGTGTGTGAGCTCTGCCCCACCTCCCCAGCCTGGGCAATCTGTCTCTGCAAGCCTGGGGACTTGTGTCCCTGAGAAGTGACACGGAAGGGAAACTGTCTGTGAGGACAGAAAGGAATCAGCCAGGCTGCACAAGGCTGTGATTTATGGGAGCCAGCAGCTGATAGCTCTTTTGAGGTCAGCACAGTTGGTGTGAGAAAAGGAACAATAAAACTCTTGAGCCCCTCTGGCCCTCCTCCCTCCTGCTGAGGGCAGGCTGCGTGTGCAGTGTTGGCACACGTATTAATGAGGTATTTGAAATGAGGAGGATGGCCCATGTTCCTTGTACAGCCACCCCTTCATTTCCTTCCCCTCTCCAAAGCACTTTGTCCTGCATGTTACCCTCTGGGTGTGCCCACACCTCGCCTGTATTTTGTGAGAAGCAAATCTCCAATGAAAGTACATATTTAGAATTATCAGGATGGTTTTAATTTCAGGGCAGTCTGTGTACCCTGACTGACTACAGGTGGCTCCATCCTCCTCTCTGTGGGCTGCTGAGTCATGGCTCAAAGCCCCTTGGCTTTCACCAGTGCACGGTTTGTGACTTCAGGGGAATTCAGGCCATCTCAGTGTAGCCCTTGTTGGTGATTTTTTTTGCTACAGTCACCAGAGCTCACAAATCCTCAGCAGCATAGTGTGTTTTTGGAATATTTTTTTAAGTGAGTCACAGCAGCATGTGTGCACTTCCATTGGAATGTTAGGAGCAGAGCTGTTATCAGTGGTGTGTGTCCCTGTCCTTTCTTCTAATGTCACACCACACGTCTAGTGTATTGTGATGTGGTGTGGACAGGAAATAAATTCACCCTGATCTGTGGAAGTGGAGAGCTGAATAGTACAGAGGTTTGTGAGACTGCAGGTTTTACCCCTAATTATTTTGTTGCTTAATTGCTGTTTTTCTGAGTCTGTGTCAGCCATGGAAATAAAAAATTGACTTTGATCATAGGTGTCTGTTAGTGGCTGATATTCCAGTGATAGTATTACTCATTTTTATTACATTCTGAATTAAGATGTTGTGGTGATCCTCAAATGGTTAGTGAACAGCTTAATTGCTTTTAACCCTTTCCCTGAGGAACTCTTTGCATTGTTTCACTTTAGTTCCTGAACATCTTACCAAGCTGGATGATGTTTCCCACATCTGAGCAAATTAAAGGCATTTATGAAGAGAAGTTCCTTTCTAAGTGATCTGTAATGTTCCTTTGCCCATGTCCAAATATCTTCCAAAATTCCATGGGCCGAGGGTTAAAAGCATCTCTGCAAAATAAAAAGTGTGGGGTTTTTTAGCTGGGATGAGTTCCTGACACAGGGCACTGTGTGGATCTATAAGAAGTTGTGAAACAGCCAAGGAGGTATCTTGGAATGGGAAACTAGGTGGGAATTAAACCCCAAATTCACAGCTGTTGGGAAGGATTTAAAAAAGGGACAAGTGCCCAGAGTGCTTTGGGAGAGCTATTGTGGGTGGAAGGGAGCAGGGAGAAAGCAAATGAATGGAATTTTTTGTTATGATGGACTATAGAGGAAAGTTTGGAATTTGCACAGAAGGGGCTCCCAGCACTACAGTACTTGATAGAATGTTCAAATCATTCTTGTTACAAACAAGAAAGTTACTGAAGCTTTGTTAATTATTTCACAGGCTTCTATTATATGGCATAGAAAACTTTGGAGTTCCACTCTGTCCCCATCTCTTTGTCCTCTTTGCACAGCTGGAATGGAGTTAATTTTCTTCCTAGCTGGTACAGAGCTGTGGTTTGGATTTAGAATGAGAGTGACATTGATAACACACTGATGTTGTAGTTGCTGCTAAGCAGTGCTACCCCTGAATCAGGGACTTTTCAGTGTCTCATGCTCTGCCAGTGAGGAGAGGCTGGGAGGGAGCATGGCCAGGGCAGCTGACCCCAGATAGGATATTCCAGATATCCAAAGGAATATTCTAGACCATGGAACATCAAGCCCTGTCCATGAACTGGGGCTGATCAAAGGGAATCAGTATTGTACACTTGCAGTTTCTCCAGCTGAAACCCATTGGCAAATTTTTAGGAAGCCTACAGATTTTTCCTAGCTAAATAAAAGCAAGCAAATCTTCTCAACCATCTCTGGGTGTCTGTGCTTGGTTGTTTGTTTCAACTTCAGTTGTGTAGCCAAAGTTATGATGGCAGTCTTCATAAGTGAACTTGTTTAAGAATAGCTAAAATTGTAGTAGAATACTAGAATTGCTGTAGATTCCAGCTTGTTGGTACAAAGTAGACATACAGGCTTCACATAGCACTGGAAATGGGATCAAATTAATGTAAGAGGAACAGTGTTAGAAGGAAATGGACAAGCCACAGAGAGCACTTGCACAGAAAGGAGGGGGGAGTGGTGTTCAGCTGGGATCGTGTACTTGTGTTTGCTTTCTTTTTCTTTGTTCCGTTGCAATTTGGTTTCAGACTTTAATATCTTGTCAGATTAATAACGACCACATGGTCATTATTAACCTGACAAGATACTAAAGTGTTTTTTTAGTAGGTTTTTTTATCATGTGTTTTGGTGATATCATGGTGATAAACTAATGTCAGGGAAAGGGGGAGCTGCTAGCAAAGCTCATGTAAGGGGTCCCATTCTCTGGACATGCCAGCTGAACCAGCTGGGTTCTGTAATCTCTACTGAAATGTAGGTCAGGCAGCTACTGTTCCTGTAGAGGCCCTCTCATATTTCTTCCAGCTCACCAAATTTCCAGTGTCCTGTTCTGCTCTGTCCCGTGCAGGGGAGGCACCGCTGAAGGCATCACTCACATGTTGTATCCTCTTTTTTGTCCGTAGGGAACAGTTTTCACTTTGGAATCCGAGGAGGAAGAGTATCCTGGGCTCATTGCAGAGGACAGCAATGACATCTACATCCTGACCAGTGACAACTCAGGGCAGGTGAGCCCCCCGGAGTCCCCCACCGTGACCACGTCGTGGCAGTCAGAGAGCCTGCCCGTGTCCCTGTCAGCGAGCCAGAGCTGGCACACGGAGAGCCTGCCAGTCTCCCTGGGACCTGAGTCCTGGCAGCAGGTGGCTATGGATCCTGAAGAAGTCAAAAGCCTGGACAGCAACGGAGGGGGTGAAGAGAGGAGTGAGAACAACTCTTCCAACTCTGACATTGTTCACGTGGAGAAGGAAGAGATCCCAGAGGGGATTGAGGAAGCGGCGGTGCCGGCCGGCGCTGCAGAGACCACGCAGGCAGCGTTTCCAGAAACCTCTGCTTCTTTACAGGAAATAAAACCTCCTGAAATTGCTGCTGCTGAAAAAGCACATCCCTCCACACTTCTGCATACAAAACAGGAGGAAAAGGGAAAAGCAGCTGAAGAGCTTGTTGAACCTGCAATCCCCGTGTTAAGTAAACCTGTCCCAAAGTTAGCCCCATCAGAAGAAAAGGCTGCACCAGAACCTGAGAAAATACTGCTTCCAGGGGAAAAAAAAGTGGGGAAAGAGGGCCATTTGGAAGAAATAGAAGAGAAACCCTCAGCTGCAGAGGAGAAGCCTATCCTATTGCCAGAAGGGAAATCTATACTGCTGTATGGTGGGGCTGCTGCAGTTGCTATATTGGCTGTGGCAGTCGGAGTAGCGCTGGCGCTTAGGAAAAAGTAACAGAGCTCTCTTGAGGAGGAGGGGGGAGAGAAGAGAGCACATCCAATTTTTTAGTTGTGTTACCTAAAGGTTGAGCTGCCTGCTGTTTAATTGGACATTTGAGTAACTCAGTGGTGATGAGGTGAGGTTGTTCAATAAGCCTCCAGCTACGGACAATCATGTTTTTAGCAGAATCGGGGCGGGAATTGGTTTTTCGTGATTAAAGTATGGGGGTATTTTTAAAAAAAAACAAAAAAAAATCTGCAAATTTAAGAACTTAAAGTGCAGGTGCTGAAGAAAGGGGTGCTCATACTCTAGGAACTGGAACAGAGAATCCCCAGGGGAAGGGGAGAGCCAGCTGCTCCCTGGAGATTTTGGCTTCTCAGATTGACCGCTATTGCAGCTGTGCTGTCTTGTCACTTCCCGTTGCACCCCTGAGCCCCTCCTAACAAACATTAGCCAACCTGAGTCCTGTAGCAAGAGGCTGGTGTCCCTTTTGTCTCAGCTTCCTCTCAGGTACAGCACTGCTCCTCATAACCTTCCAGGTTCCTCCTAAGCCCCAGTGGGACAGTGCTTATTCTTACCTCTTGGCTCACAGTCTTTTGGCCCCTAACGTTTACTGGAGCCCCATCCTGTGAAGATGCTGCCTCTCTATAGCTGTATTATCTCTGAGCATCCTGGTGTTCCTGGGGCAGAGGTGCTGCCCAGGAGGATGGGAGGGACACTGCTATTTGCTGGTTTGAGAATCCATTTGCTCTGCTCCTGCCCCAGCCCACTTTACTGCAAACCCTTCAGTTACCAGAGGTACGAAATTCATGCTGGACACGGTGCCATTGGGGTCAGTACTCTGATATCTGGGGTGTATTCAGCAAAAACACAGCAAAAATACAGCAAAACCGTGTGGAAGCAAGGCCAGTGCCTCAAGTGCAATTGAGACATTAAACGCTCTGCTGTCCTGTGTCACGCTGCAGTCTGCATTGTCTTTCCCAAGTTAAGCACAGAGTTATTTAGTCCTAACTTGGTCTTGCCTGTGACAGAATCCCAGATATATAAAGCAATGGATTCTAGTAACTGAGCAAAAGAGCATTAAACATCTCTATCTGCTTGTTCCTAACCTGGCCCAGAGTGGTGTTCAGTGCAATTCCTTCTGCAACTGTGAATCTGTAATTAGCTAAACTTACAGCTTCACAAATGATGAGCAATTTACTTGGGCAAAAAAAGGAAATCCCCCTTCTTGCAGTCACAACACTTCATGTGTGTGTGTGTGTGGAGAGAAGCCTTTCAAGTATTGCTCTGTCCTTAGTGGGATCCAGCTGCAAGTGTTCCTCTTTCAGCACATGTTTGTGTGTCTGTCCTTGTCCGTACTGCAGCTCTGTAGGCAGCACCTTGGGCTTCCCAGGCACAGCTGTGGATGCATCTCTGAGGGTTGGTGCTGGCACTGTGGCTTAGACCAGATGGAGGAAGGTGAAAGGGAACTCATGATAATGTAAAAAATAAAATGTGAGCTTGTGGGACTCTGCGCAAAGCACAAAGACAAGGTACTTTTATTTCTAAAAAACCATATCAAGAGTACATCTCCTGATGAGCCTGTTTCTTAAGGGATCTCAGAATGAAGAGATCTTAGCATATTCTCTATTTTAGGATATTCTTGCTGCATTTTCCTATCCCAGGATGCTGGAAAGTTAGTCAGAATGTGTCAGATTCTGAGGAATTATTTTTGTGTAAGCTTTTGTGAAATGGATTTTCTAGAAAACTTACTGGATTTTGAACTGTGTGTGTGAAGTTGAATATTAAGAGGAAGGGTTGTGTATATACTGTTGCTGTGGACTGAACTTGGAAGCTCTGGACTGTACTGTTGATCATTGATTACTCTTCTTCCATGTACAAAACATAGCAGGTTGGCCTTACCAGAAAAAAAACCCGAATCTTTTTATCACATTGCAAAATGGAATTTACTTTTTTTTTTTTTCCATTTCCTGGTGCTCTGCAGGTACTCGTTGCTGTGCTGTGTCCCCAGAAGGGGTCGCTGGGACCTCCTCATGCCAGGGACTCTGTGGTGTCTGCCTTCCCACCCCAGCAGTTCCCTCTCCTGGCCCCTTGCAGGAGCTTCCCCCACGTGGAGAGGTCTCTTTATGCTCCATTTGTCACGGACGTGCAGGAACAGTTTTGCTTCGTTTCACATGTGTTTATCAGGGAGTGGTACAGCCTCTGAGGTGGCAGGGCAGCTTTATTGCTTGGTCAGTCAGGGCAGGGCTGCTTTGCTCATGGCTTTGGGTTCTTCTCTGGGCACATTCTCTGTTGAAGAGAACTGTTCTTAACCTGCATCCCCTCCTTACTGAAGACAATGAACCTGCTTTTGGTACAGCCCCACCTCTAGCCACACACCAGGTTACTCTGAAGCAAAGATGGATTCTGTGGACACTGATGGGAGGAGGGTGGAGGCAGGGCTGCTGTTACTTCATCTTCTCTGTGGATGGGGTTGTTTCAGTAGTAGTGTGGAGATGCGTAGAGACAGGAATAAATCCAGGCTGGCAAGGGAAGCTTCCATGCACATCAGTGAGAAGGTGGCAGCAGTAGTAAGGAAAAGAAATGACTGTTAGGCATTTTCCTGGTCAGGCAGAAGCCTTGAGTATCTGGTGTGTGTTTTGCTACATCTCATGGAGCATCAGTTGCACTGGATGTTTTGGTTGCTTGATCCTTTCTTTATCATGTTCTTCTCCTTCTGGGGTCTTTTAGATTTGGCAAGTCAGCGAGAATTTGAACTGACCATGTGTTCAGAAAATTTCCTGTGTGATTCTCTTTCCTCTGGGAACACTCCACTAGTTAAAAAGGTCAGCTGTGGGGTTGAGTTCTGCAGAGTTTGGAGTCCTGTGGTCAGAGCTGGGATCACCAAAGGGTGGATAAGCTCAGATGGGAATGTTCCTACAGACCTGAGTGAGAGGCTGCTCTGTGAAGAGGTATGAATTAGAAAATGGAAGTTTTCTTCCCCCCTGTCTTCAAGTATATTAATCTTAAACTGCAGGGTCCAATCACCCTGAAAGGTGTGGTGCAACCTCTCTTTATGGATCTCTCGTAGCTGGCAGAGGGAAGGCAGGAGCTATAGACTTGCAAAAGGGCATATATAGAATCACTTTCACTTGTGTTGCTCATCCCCTTCCCAGAAGTGCCTCAATATCTGTCCTCGAGTGGCCTGTACTTTAACAAAATATTTACCTTAGACCCATTCTTCACTTTATCCTTAGCATACCCTAAAGCTGAGATGCTAAAGCAGCAGAAGACTGGATCTGTAAAAATAATTGGGAAATACTAAAGGAACTGCTATGGGCAGCATGCTCAATAAGGAGCTGTCTAGGGAAAGGCTTTCAGGATAAGGTGCAACTTAAATTCAGCTGTGCTTAATTCTAAGCACTGCTTAGTTGGGCATTGTGGCTGGGAGCTGAGCAAGGACTTTGTTCAGCTGGCAGTGCAGGAACAAGAGGCTGAGAGCAAAGACAGAATTCCTGTGTTTCCCAAAAGCCCAAAGTGCAGATGCAGAGCCAGGTCCCAGCCATGGTGCAGCTCGTGTGTGCTGGGTGGAGCCTGGTGGGCTCCTGTCTCCTGAGTCCCTTGAGCTTCTTCAGAAGATGCAGGCTGAGGGGCAGGTCAGGACTACAGGAATCCATCCCTGCTGTTTGTGAGGGCTTCATTTTTCACTCTCAGGCAGCTGCAGCTCAAGGGCCAGGTGGAAGCTGCAGTTCTGAGTGCTCCTACACAGGACAAGTTTTGCTGCCAGAATCCCATTTCCTTCCTTCCCCCATAGTGTTGATCACAGCTAGGCTAAAATTTTGGACTGAATTTTGAAACTAATCAATGCTTTCTAATGGTCACAAATGAAAAGTTTAATTAGTACTAAACAAGCAAGCTGCTGAAATTTGGTCTTCTTTCATCATAATTATTGTAGTAAATAAAATAATCTGAGGCTATAGACCTTCTCTATATTTAATGTCAGTTAAAGAGGTATGCCACTACTGGCAAAGCCCTAGTAAGGTAGATCTTACTGTTCTGGCAAAAAACTAGAAATGCTTCTGGCACCACAGTTGCTTATTCCGAGCAACTAAACCAGAGCAAGTTCCTGTTACAGAGTTTCAGAGTGTAATTACTACAATCTTCTGCTGTGAAATGGAGGAGTGGGGTGGAGAGGTGCACATGACTGTCCCGGGTGTCATGTCTTCAGGCATCAGAAAGCCCAGGGCTTCAGTACAATGTCATACTCTGGGCTCTGTTTGTGTCTGTTCATGTTGGAGCACAATGGGAGAAAGTGTTTCCCAGTGAAAAATTCCTGTTTAGTATCTTTAGTGATGATCTGGATGAGGGGATCGAGTTGGACATTAGCAAATTTGTAGATGAGACCAAGTTGGGTGCAAGTGTTGGTCTGCTGGAGGGTAGGAGGGCTCTGGGAGGCACCTGGACAGGCAGGATTGGAAACTGAGTCCAGTTCAACAAGACCAAGTGCCTGGTCCTACACTTAGGCCACAACAACCCCCTGGAGCATTACTGCAGGCTGGGGACAGAGTGGCTGGACAGGGGCCAGGCAGAAAGGGACCTGGGGCTGTGACTGGCAGCAGCTGAACATGAGCCAGCAGTGTGCCCAGGTGGCCAAGAAGGCTCCTGGCCTGGAGCAGGAATGGTGTGACCAGCAGAGCAGGGCAGTGATTGTCCCCCTGTACTTGGCACCTCGAGTCCTGTGTCCAGTCCTGGGCCCCTCAGTTCAGGAGAGATGTTGAGATGCTGGAGCAAGTCCAGAGAAGGGCAGCAAGGCTGGTGAGGGGTCTGGAGCACAAATCCTACAAGGAGCAGCTGAGGGAGCTGGGAGTGTTCAGCCTGGAGAGGAGGAGGCTCAGGGGAGAGCTCATCACTCTGAAAAGGAAGGGGCAGCCAGGTGGGGTCAGGCTCTTCTCCCAGGTAACAGCAACAGGACAGGATGGCACAGCCTTGAACTGTGCCAGGGGAGGCTGAGTTTGGACATTAGGAAGAAGTTCTTCACAGAAAGGTGACTGGACATTGGAATGGGCTGCCCAGGGAGCTGGGAGTCACCATCCCTGGAGCTGATTGAACAGGCTGGATGTGACACTCACTGCCATGCTCTGGCTGGCAAGGTGATGGTTGGTCTTTTCCAAACCTGGTGCTTTTAGGAAACAGGGAGGGGTGAGACACAATATCTGCTCTACCTAGTGAGGGAAGAAGCTGTGCATGATTTCAGTTTCGCTTGGATTGCTTCATTTCAGCATGAGGAAAGTTGCAGGAACAGTATTACTTTGACTTCATGCATGTACCTATGCTTAAGAGTGCAAGCTCTGTATTGCCATAACAAAAAATAAAGGAGGGGAAGGTGTTTATAAAATTTAAGCCAGCAGTGCTTGACTCAGGTAGAGCAAGGTCTCAGGCCCAGAGGGAGCAGGGACTGCAGGACCAGGTCTAGGCAACAGAACTCAGTTTGTGTCTGATACAGTGAAGGCACCTGGCCAGGACTTGGCTGGGGAATGAGGCAGTAGTGTTAAGTCCAGGGGAACCACAACATATCATTCAGCTCCACCTCCTTAGGTTAAATAACTTCATCATTTTTTTTTCTACTTAGAGCTGACCTTCTCTCAGTCTCTTGGGTAGGCTGACTTGCTTCCTCCGAACTAGGGGTCTGTGATAATGCTGTACAAGTGGGGAAGCTCCTGTTGGCTTCCAGTGGAAGCTGCTTTTGATCTCCCTGCAGTATCTGCAGGGCAGGCAAGCAAGAGACACTATTGATGTGGACACAACTAACTGCAGAGGATGCATCTTACTGCTATATCTTTAGGGGCTTTGTCCTCAGTTTTAACTTGCAGGAAAAGCTTTTATTCAAGTGTAAACCTAAAAACCCACTCAGACCAAAAGAATGCCACTTGATTTGTTAAGTAGCAAAGACTAATGGGATTGACTCTGAAGCTGCAGGTTAGGGGATCTCTTTTGCTAGGCTTCTGCTGGGTGTAAGCAAGTAGCGACAGACTTGCAGGGATTTTGGATTCTGTTCTCAAGAGGCCTCCCTGGGGGAAGATACCCTGACTGCTCCTCAGGTCATCCATCATCCCAGGAACTCATCACACTGTTCCTTCCAATATGCAAGTGCAGCCCTCTTGGGGAAAACTGTCTAAAGCTTCTTGTGCCATTTGGTTAATAAAAGTGTTTCCACCTTGACAAGAAAGTTCCTTCCAGCTTCATTGTTCAATATTCAGTTCAAGTGAAGGGGTATATACATTTTTTCCCTCTGCTAATGGGACACTGCTGTAAGACCATGCCCCCAGGTTGCACTTTAATAAATGGTACAGTTTCCAAAAACCATGTGTGGACTACTTCTGTGCTTCTCCTCTCCCCATTTTAGTGCAGGCACCAAAAGATGTGGTTTTACTTACAGGAAACTTGTTTATGCAAGGCACAAGGACAGGACCAGAGTGTCTCTGCCAGCTGCATCATAAGCCATGGTGAATTAGAAGAATGCCATGAGTACTTGCACAAAAAATTGTCAGGTAGAAACAAAGTCTGCAGAGCTGTGATGGCCATCAGAAATGAAATTTTTATTTAAGTTAAAAACCTCCACAAAGTATTTACATACTTAAAAAAGTCCTGAGGGAGCTGGCTCAGGGGTGATACATTTGCCACCTTGTGTAATTATGTATCAAACAACCTGAGTCCAAGTTTGTTCAACCTGAGATGTGACTACAAGATGATGCTACTTTTTCTTAAGTATAGCCAGGTTGCATTCACAAAAAGGACTTGCCTTGTGCCTACCCTACCCTTTTCTTTACAGTTTTGCCCTCAGTTTTTATTTTTCAAGCAAACTCGGGTGTATGGTGATTGATACTGAATTATCCTCATGTCACCCTCCTCTGGCCACACTCCCCTCTATCACTGAGGGCTCTGTTCCCTCTTGCTGCCAGCTTCTCATCTAGACCTGATTCCCACCCACCTCTGATTATTCTGCTGATGAACCACCCATTCCATAGCCTGAGGCCTTCCTGGGAATAACATTCAGCATGGCTCAGCTGCAGGAGCAGTGCTGAGAAGTTAATAACTGAAGCAAAACGTTACAGCTGCTTAAAAAAAAAAACAAAAAAAAAAAAAACACTGAGAGGACGGGCCCTGTGCCCACTGGACTGGGCCTGTTGAGGCACAAGGCAGTCTCTGCACAAAGGTGTCTGTTGCTAAAATAAAAAAATAAAAGGAGAGAGGCAAGCACTACTCCCTACAGGTACTGGCAGAGCTGGCAGGCAGCTCATGCTACTATTACTGCTGTGCTAGTCTACAAAAGCCTATCTATGAAGCTCCACCATCGCTTTCACAGCTGTATCTCCAAATTTAAATCAAGTTGGATCTTCATCCATCAAGGAAAGCCTTCAGGAATCCAAACAGGGCTGGAGAGCTCACTCACCCAGCTGGAGGGAGAGAAAGAGAAGGGGAGTTATTAACAGCAGTGGGGTTGTCCCGCGGTGAGCCCTGCCCTGTTCCCGTACCGGCCCAGGAGTTCAACACTGCCACCTGCCGTGCTCCTCGCTGTGCCAGCAGCAGGGACACGGCCCACGGGGACAGTTTGGGACAGCGCCGGGGCCCAGCCCAGCCCTCCCCCTGCCCTTGGTGCCACGAGCCAGCTGGGGCAGCAGTACGGGCCAGTCTCACACGGGTGACCCATTTCTGGCATAACTCAGCACCCTGGAGCCAAACTGAGTGAAGGGAAGGGCAGTGCTGAGTGACACAGCACAGTGACACCGTGCCCAGGGTGCTGGGTGACACAAAGTGACAGGATGAGTTGCTGCCAACACTGTCCCTGGCAAGGCTGCAGTGCAGGAGTGTCCCACAGGGCTGCAGCACAGCACACCTGTGTCACTTCTACCTCACAGCAGGGCAGGATCACAGCCCTGCCTGCTCAAATCTCATTCTCAGGGACCACTGAGTCTTAACAACAGTGTGTGCATCCTCTCCCCTCCCCAGACTCCTCCAGCCTGGCTTGCCCGCGAGCTGCACAGCCTCCCCACCTCTGCTCAAGTGCCAACAGAGAACAAGAACAGAATTGACCATTTCTCATTGTTCCTCTACTAGTGTTAATTGTCAGGAGCAATCCCTTTCCCCTTCCAGTTCTCCCAAGCTCTGGGGAGCTGAGGAAGACAAGAGCAGAGACCTCAGGGTCAAGACATTAGGGAAATGAAGCCAGTAGAGCTCAGGTCAGGCTTTACATCCCCGAGGGAATGAAAGAATCATTAACCAGAATCTTACTGGTACAGCTCCCCAAGGGGATTTCAGAGACGAGAGGAGCAGTCACAACTCTCTCTGCCCAACAGAACAAATGCACTCACCGGCTGCTGCAAGAGGGGGGCAAGCAGGAGCTGTGACATGACCCCCTCAAGCATACAACTCCAGAGCTCTGCAGGGATGATATTACCTTCTGGCCCAACATGCAGAGCACTAAAGGGAAACCAGCCCCAAGCAGTTCAGAGCTAAGCCACCCCTCAGGGAACAACCCAGGACAGCTAAAAGGCTGGCTGTGACTCCCACAGAGCTGCATGACAGCACTCACCATTCTAGCAATGTCCTCGTGGAACTGCTGGTTCATGTAGTTCACAGTGGCATTAAAGACACGTTGCAGAAGGGACGGCACTCTATTCAAAATTTTCTTAGTTAAGACCATTGCTAGCACCAACATGGCCTTCTCCTGTGCCATGTCTAAGGGGATGGATCTTTGAAGCTCCTTCACTACCCTGGACATGTGCAGGGCTATCTCCTGTATGGAAAGAAGAGAGGGATCTCAGTGCAACAGCTGGGGCTCAGAACAACAGAAAGGGGTCTCAGCACAGTCTGCCAGGACTGTACTAATAACTGACGTGCTTGTAACACTTCACAGGATGCTGCTCCCCCTTTTCTCAGCCATGCTGTTGCATAAAAAAAAAACCACCCCCAAAAAACTATGGCCCTTGATCCAGATGTAGGATATCTAAGGATTAGATCTTTCTTTTCCTTTTTAACACAAGAGACTTCAAACTCTACTGCTCTTGCACAGCAGCAAGGCATGTTAGATGCTGGGCCAACTGCATCTAGAAAGAACCCTCCCCCAGCAGGTCACCCAGCCAGGCCTAAACCCACTGCTACTCCCAAAACTGTGCCTATGAACACACTCTCAGCACCAGAAAAGGGTCATATGACTTGCTGTCTCTTCAGTGCTCAGTAACAAGTACAAGTTAAGCTCCTGTCACTAACCTGTTCAATTTTTATCTGCATGATTGTCAGCAGATATACAGAACTCAGCACCAAAGTCCAAAGATCTTAAGTACTAAAACTAAGCCTTAGCCAGATGCTCATTTTCTAAGATAAGCCATGGGGCCATAAAAATAAGGACAAAATGCCACAAAATTCAGTCCTTTTCCACAACCACCGTTTCACCATCTGCAGAAAGGAGATGAGCCCAAGGAGCCCAATTTACACATTAACTTCTGCCACAGAATGACCTCTAACAAATCTTCAAAGGTGTTTGGGATGAATTTTCAGATGCCTGCCAAGTCACAGCAGGAAGGATGCAGGATATTTAAAAGAACTGCTTATTAGGCTGCTTTTCTCTCACCTCTTTAGACAGTGCCTCATTCCGAAAGTGCTGCACTAGGTCCTCTACTACTCTTCCTTCGATTTCTTCATTAAACTGGTCTCCAATCTGAGTGAGCCGAGCAGCAATGATCCGGATAACTTCTTCATTTGTTGAAGCCTCCTCTGCCAACACAAAGAGCAGAGTTTAGTTCATAGGCTGCAGTCAGATCAGGTTTAGTACAGGTCACAGTATTTTGCTAATCTCCATTAGGAACCTCCTTCCCATCTCTGATTGTATTCATGACCGGTCTAAGCATAATTTCTTTAAGTGCACCCAGGTTGCTTAGCAGAAATAGTAGAAAACAGAGGTTTATATCTGTAGTTCAGGTAAAGTGCAGCCTCACCCTGCCCAAAAAAAAAATATCACTTCAGGGCATGTTAGAACATCTCCAACCCAAATTTGAACAGGACAGTTACAGCTAACCTCCTGCCCAGAGAGGGGAAGCTGTGCATGACCTTGAAGGTTTTTTTTTCAACCTAATGATTCTGGAATTTAAGTGACTTGTCAGGATTTGTCTCTTAAGCACCATCTAAAATATAGCACCTCATAGAATAGTTGGAGTTGGAAGGGACCTTGAAAGGCCATCTCATTCAAACCCCCTGCAATGTGCAGGCACATCTTCTACTAGATTGGATTGCTCAAAGCCCCAGTTCAAACTGACCTTGAATGTTTCCAGGGGTGAGGCATCCAGCACCTCTTTGGGCAACTTATGCCAGTGTTTTACCACCCTCATTGTAAAAATCTTCCTTACATCTAGTCTGAATCTGTCCATTTTCAGCTGAGAGCCTTACATCTTTTCCTACCTGCTTTTGGCATGAGACCTATGCAAATTTGTGTGAGAGAGGGCTATTTACTGTAGCAGTTCCTCCTCACCCTGCTTCAGTTAAGGTCAATGTGCCAGCTGACACACACTGGAGGCAGTAGCCACCCTGCAGATGGCTAGCAAAGCAGGAACAGGACCAGAAGCTACTTGAGGAAGTTTCCACCAGACTGATAGAGCAGAAAGGGATTCACTCTGTACCAAAACTCAAGTTGTTCCAAGATCCTAGCCCAAGTATTGATACTACCTGAGGAGCAGTGTGAGGCCTAACTTAACTGCTTAGTATCACACTCCTTGAAGGCAGCTATCACCAGTACCAGCTTTGTGCCCTTGTCTGATGTGCTGCAGACAAAACCCAGTGACAGGGGGTCCAGAAATCCATGGACAGACAAAGTACTAAGCACCAGTTGTCTTAACCTAAGTATTAAATTCCCAACCAACATCACCAACAGCCACACAGTGAAGTTTCTCAATAGAGAAAACATTACTCCTCAGAGAGACAATGGCAAAGATAGGAGATGGGGAAAGAAAAGCAGCATGTTCAGAGAGCCTTGTGGGATGGAGAAAGGCCTGCTCACCTAGCTCACCGTTCTGGAAGTGGCCACTCCGATTGCCATCGGTCTGAAGCTCATCATCATCACTTGATTGGTAGACTATCATCTGTTGCTTTTGCAGGGAATCTCTGTAGCTTTTCAGCTGCTCTCTGAACTGACAGTCAGGGGATACCTCCAGGAAGGTGAACAGCAGTGCCTGCTCCATCTGAAGAGATCCATTCATCTGAGACATAGGAAATCAATGTTAAGCTCATGCTTAGAAAGTGTCCCATTCAAAGCATCTAGCATGCACCATTTTTTCCAAACCTGAACAGGTCTCTGGCCTCCTCTGTGCACCCTGAACAGCATCAGCCAGGGGGTCCACAAGGCCTCAGCAAACACAGACTGACTTCTGGGTGTGGAGCCACACACGACTGTCCCATGGTGAATGACAGAAGGCTCTGCTCTTACAAACTGGTGATGAAAACCCAGCTCAGCCTCTCCTCACATTTCCAGCTGTGGAAATGGCAGCAACCTCAATCCAAGCTCCTCTTCTGAAACAGCTGTGTATTCAGCAAAAACCATTCATTTCCCTTACTCAGACATCTGTGTTTGGAAAGGTTTTACCCCTGCATTTGGGAACTGGGCATTCTACTTGCATAAAGAAGGCAGCAGCTCCCCACTTCCATGTAATCAGAGCAGAGCAGTAACAAGGTGGGAAATACAGATAAGAGCATAAGCCTGCAAAAACCCCCAAGGCTCACATTTCTTCTCCCTCTTCAAAGGAACCAGTTCCATAATAAACCTGTTCAGCTCCTCCTAGAGAGCCAAGCAGCTGTTCACAAGAAAAGTGACATGAGATGGCAGATCATTGTCACCTTCAGTGGCACATTCACCCCCATTAAATGGGCATGGGCAGTCTCCATGGCCACACAACCTGCAGCATTCAAGCAAGGCAGCACAGAGTGCCCCAATTCATCAGGTTGAGGAGGTCCATGAGGCAGGCAGACTGATGGGAAAAAGAGGCCCCACTGGAACACCAGGCTTCATAACCAACTAAGGCCTCCAGAAAACCAGGAGACTCTCAAAAAATTTTAGTTAAACAGGTAAGAGAGCAGAATGTGGTGTAAGCACAGAAATAAAGTAACAAAGAAAATCCTTACTCTGGTATGCAGATGGTCTGCCTGTAAGAAAATACTTAGGCTTAATTTTATCTAGGGAGAAGAAAAATAGTTAAAGAAGAATGGCTTGTTATGCCAACAATATGCAACCAGAATGAAATTAGTAACTGAAAGGTAGTTTTGGGGAGTGGAAACTTGCAAAGCCTTGACATAACCATATCTGACTGGGCAGACAAAAGGAGGAACAAAGTCAACAAAATGCAGAGCTCAGAAATGGAAACAAATGGAAAATGAAGTACATGATCAGCAATGAACGGAAGGCACATCTTCCATGATCTGAGCATGCACGTTTACAGACAGCAGTGCAGGTCACCTGGTGACCTGAGCTCACTGGGGCACCAGTGGCAATCCCTGCAAGAGCCTGCTGGACTGCTCCTTGGGTTTATCACTGATACATTTTAAAATCATATTATGCTCAAAAGGCTTGTGGGAGGGCAGAGTAGGGGGTTAGAGTTGTAACCTAACATGAGCTGGGGGAAGATGACAGACATTTCAGTTCTATGTGTAAGATTAAAATGAGCCAAGTAACAGCATCATAATTGTGTTTAACATTGCACAAACCAATGCACTGCATTGATCACAGGGCTGTGCCCATTCCTTTATTAGTTTTAGCAGTTTGTAGCTTTATCAATAAACATTATAGTCTCTCACATAACTACATCTCCAGCCTGCAGTCCTAAGGGGAAGCCACACTGAGAGCTGCAAGGAAGCAGCTTGCAACTTAACTGGTTCCATTCACTTCCGTGTATTCAGAGCAGTGCCAGGAACACTGCAGAAGTTCTGGGAAATTCAAGAAGGCCACGAGACAACAGTGAGACTTAGCCCCCTTCAAAGTATCTCAGGACAAGTGTACCAGGGAACCACTATACACTGTGAACAGCTGACTTCAGATATGTTTGACTCCAACCTGTTCCATGATGGATTCAGGGACAGAGCAGCTCGGGTCACCCTCTGCTTCAGGTCAGAAATCCTCGTCCTGTGAAAGAGCAAAAAAGAAAAATGTGAAAGGAACAAAATTCCCATAAATCCACATCTTGCAGCTGTACTTATGAGTCTGGCCATGACTCATAGTAAATGTCCTTTTTAGTGATGTATATTTCTACTTCTGGAGAGAGCTGCCCATCACACACCATCAGTCATGAAAAAGGGCTGAGGAAACCAAAATTGTCTCAGTGAGAAGGGCCCTGTGAATGAGAGGCACAAATCTCCTTCCTGCCACAGATGTGCCAGACAGGGGAGTGGCACAACCTACAAACAGGGCTTTAAAGCCAGGAGCTGCTGTTGGGGACAGGTGGGACAACCCTCCATGGAGCCAGAGGCTGTAATGAAGAGCAGGGTGATCAGAGAGGAACTCCTGAGAGCAGGTGAGCTGATGGGTCTGCATGCACAGCAGAATACTCTGAAATGAAAAAACCAGCTGACATTGCTACACATCCACAGGGCCTCAAGGGTGCCTCTCCCCACCCTCCATGCAAGAGATCCACATGGATACTCAGGCTCATTTCAATACTTCCCAACAAATATCTGTGATGGGGAAGGTTGGATCAAGTGCCAGCAGAGGCTTCCAGTCACATGAGTGCAACTCTGCTAAGCCTCCAGGGAGGCTTGCTAGGAAGAAGGGAGAAAGCAGAACAGAGCCAGGGGAAGAGCACCCAGCAAGGGAGGGCACAGGGGAGCCTCCTTCTCTCCCTTACAAAGGTGTAGGATGCAGGAGCACAGTGCTCCTTCCTCATCCTGCCAGGAGCAGCTGGTGGGTGGGTCAGAACCTTGCTTTTGCTGCCTTACACACAACAGTCCCATGGCTGCACACAGAAGTCTCTGGTTCAACTCTTGATGAGCAGGGCCTGGCTGAAAGTGGGCACTCCCTACCAAACATCTTCACCCAGGCCAATAACCTGGTTGTTATACAAGCACCTTCTAACCAAAAATGGGCACTAAGGAACCCAAACAAAAGGCCTGCTAACCATCAAAGACCTGGGCTGGTGATAAATTATTTCATGGTAACAACCCCTCACATCTGTGTTTTAAATAACTAAGTGTGCTGGTAGAAAAGAGGGAAGTGAAAGCAAAAAGAAATTCCAACTCTGAAGCAAACCAGAGCCATATTTCAAGAGATCATCAATCTCCCAACTTTTCAAAGGCTCTTAGAAGTCCAAGACCAAAACCCAATCTCAAATATGCCTGAAAACACACACCAGCCCACAGGAAGCCTCTTAACCATGAGCTCTTCTTTTCATGGAATTATGTCAGACTAACAGCTACAACACTTTGGCTTAACCCTTGCTGCTTTGCATTTTCCTCTGTTCCATTTGAATCCCTATTGCTGCTACTCACTTCTACCCTAAGGAGTGTTCTGGCTGGAAAGAGTCCTCTGTCCTGCTTTTGGGACCTCAGGGGGCTCTGAAACAGGTCAGGGTGATCTTTCTTCTGGGCTTGACTTTGCAGGAATAGACACAGATGTTAATTCAGGTTAGAAAACTCAAAACAGAATGCTGAGATTAAGAGGAAAGTGGGGATTTGGAATTAAATCTATGGCAGGACTTTGGCTCTGTGCAAACTCCTCAGGAGCTGTCCACACAAGCAATATTTCTGTAAGTTAGGTAAAGCCTCAGTTTGCACACATTGTGGTTTTAGAGATAACATTTCCTTTCAGTGCAATTCTCCCACTCTGCTTTAAATGAAGAGGCACAGACTGCTCCAGCCCTGCCAGGTGCCTGCTGCACCTGCAGATGTCAGGGGCTGTGCAGGGAAAAGAGACCTACAACACCTGTGGGTTCTTCCCTTCCCTCAGGGATCAAATCAGCTCCGTGGAGATACAGACACTCCTCAGGCCAAGTCCACAAAAACAGACACATTAAAAAGTCAACTACCATAATTGCAAATAGCAATTTTGTGGGTTTGTTGTCTACTCCTACGCATGAGCAGAGAAAATCAGAATAATGAAGAGTTCCATCACACTCCAAAGTACTAATATGGCAAAAAATGAAGATGAGGGAGCCTGAACATAACTCCACAAACTGAAGTTCCTAAACCAAAGATTGACCACCCACACAGTGAATGCCCCTGAAGGTAATATCTGCCCTCAGCTAAGAAAGTTCTGCTTGGGTGGTCAAAAACACACCAGAGAAGAGGAAAAAGGATTTCTCTCACCCCAAAACCCTACTTCTACAATACAGGGCAAATTATTTTTTATTTTAGTTAACTAGTAATTATAGGAACCTCAAGTTTTACATCACTACTTTGAATCAATGCAAAAGCTTCGATAGTCACAAAGTTCCTCCTGAGAAATCAAGTTTCTTACTGGAATATGAAAAAAAAAAAAAAAAAAAACCAACCGAAAAACCAAACCTCAAACAGTCAAATGCAATCATGCAGATATCACCCAAATTTTTTAATCATTAAGATTTTGGAATCCTGGTAGTTTTAGATTTTGATTAAGACTCTTTCTGGTGGAGGGAAAAAGGTTACCTTATATTGGGTAAAAAGAATCTTTAGTTGAGAAGGAGAAAAGATGGATAAAGGGTACAAACACTATCTGCACTCATATTCAGAGTCAAACTAGATCATTTGCTAAGGCTGCTTTAGGGCTGCTGAAATCTTGGAATGAGTTTTTACAGAATATGATATTTTAATTGAAACACCAACTAATTTAAATACATTATTAATTTCTTACTTCAATTTGCTCATTAGACAAATGAGCTTTGTGAGAAGCTCACATTTCTTTGTGAGAAATGAGCTACTTCTGAGAAATCACTAAATGCCTTGAAGCGTTCAACACATAAGACTACAACCAGTTTTTCAGACCTGTTCTTTCCCTCTTTCTTACAAAAAAATGAAGGAGGCACTTTAAGCACAAGTTTAAGAACCTTAAATCAGTTCTACAGAATCAGTGTAGGGCATGTTCATTCCAACTCAACACTGTATGGGATGCAGGGCTGTGGAGAGCCATATGGTAAGAAAACAATTACATTTAGAGAAGCACATCCAGCAGCAGCCTGTCAGTGCAGTAGGAAAGACCTTTCCACCCACACACAGCAGTTTTCACAAATGAATTCTGTGACTTTTCACAAGTGAACTCGTGGATGCTTCCTCCAAGGCAGTCAGGCTCTAGATGGGGCTGAGTAGACCCTGAGGGATGGTACTTACTGCTCTCCAACAACACAGCTCCTTCAGGTCTGGTGTCCCATCTTCTGTTTCTCCCTCTCATCCCCAAGCTGCATTATCTTTTAAATCTCACAAGAAACTCACCAGAAGAGCTTTTCCCACCTGCAGTCCACCAAGAAGAGGTGGCATCACCAGAGGCAAGAGCATGCAGGGCCAGAACCCCCTGACCCAGGCCTTAAGGAGAGATGGCACTGCAAGTTTGTAGGGTGGAAAAGAGGGAAAAGTAGGACTGCAAGACAATTGGCACCCCATGCCCCTCTCCCACACCATGCAGTGAGGGGGAATCCAAAGGAAAAGCCTCATATATTGCATTACACTGTGGTTACCTGCTGGGGGAACTCCCCACAGCTCTCAGGGCTGCAGGTTCCAGAATCCCTGCAGCACTGCTAAGCAACCCTAAAAATCAGTTTTCACCTCCACACTTGTGCTACATCTTCAAGACTACTCAGAAAAGAAGCCACCCCACAATGTCTCTGCTTCCATCACTTCCCCTCAGATCCTTCACCTCTCCTCACAGCTCAGCCTGGGAGTTACTGGGACTGATGCTGTGGGTCAATGGACCCATTGTGTGAGCTGTCAGGATGTTTATGTCTCACGTTTGAGTTAAGAGCAATTAAAATCTCCAAAGCAGAAACTGCAATAAAGTATCAGTCATTGGCAAAGTCAAGAACTTCCAACCTGAGCATTGCTTTCCCTGTGTGGCAGCTGAAAGGTAAGAACTTTGGGTGTGGCAGTCAGGATGACATCATTATTGAAATAAATAAAACAATGTTTTATTTGTCCCTTCCTGCACCTGGTGGCACTTACATGTCCTGTAGGCAGACGTTTCATTGTTGAGCTACACAACTTTTTACAAAGCAAGGGCATCATTTTACAGGCAGGGAAACCAAGTATTTGATATATTCTGACATTTTAAATCCACATATCAAACCACAACCACTCAATTTTACTGTCTTCATGAGAACTTGCCAAAGGCACAACTACTTTACATAACCAGTCATTACCGGAAAATCAAGAGAAACAGGATCAGACTTAAGAAGTTCCTTACCTGAGGATATTCTGAGCTGTGCCTCTGTTGTCTACAGCACTTCAGGTCTCTGAGAGTGTAAGCAAATACCACATCACAGAGCCCAAAGTCACCAAAAGCCACTCTGCTTCTAGCCCATAAACCCAAAAGGAACTAAACAGCCCAGGGAAGAGATCTTGTTGGTGTGGAAAACCCACAGTGCTGAGATGAGTAAATAGGATCTTGCCATTACCACAGGAAACCTGCCCCCATTGCTCCTTGCTCTGCAAAGGATTCACCAGCCTGTAACAGTGTTTAGAACACTCCAGGATTTTACCTCATTTGAGAATCACTCTTAAAGTAGAATTTGCTTCTAGGCTTTGGAAAAGAAGGAGGGTGGTGGGAGAACAGAGATATTGCAATGTGTAAGAGGGGAAGGATGGGCTCAACAAGGAGCATGTATGGATGCACACACACACAACTGTGGAACTAAAGGATGGTTTGGTACATCTGGTTAACACCAAAGCTATTGGCTTGGAGACTGTCAGCACTTTCCCTGCCACAGGGAACACTGCTACCAAACAAACTAAGGGTATTTTCCACCCATTGCCTCTGAGGGAGGATGCAACATCAAGAGCTTATTTTGGAAGTGGCAAAACTGACAAGCCATGAGGAGCATGACTGGAAACACCATCAGCTCAGTGGCCCAGAACAGGACACGCCTCCTCCCCCAGTCAGTTGCAGTTTATTTGCTTGGCTCCTGTTAGTCAGGAATCATGAGATTACCTAAAATCCAGCCAGGACAA